GCTTCCACACTCAAAGAGCGATCTGAACCCTTGGCTAGTAAAGACTACAGCAAATCTAGTTACACAAGTGCCCTAGAAGGAGAGAGGCTAAAGGAATTCAATTCAGCTGCCCCATGAGTCACGGGGTTAGTCGCTCAGAACGGCTTCCTGCATGTAGTTAGCAGCGGTTTCCAGTTTCTAAAGCCTGTTCATGATCCAAAGAGAAAATGTCCTATTTCCCCATTCCTTATTACGTCCCAGTAGGCAATGACTCACAGGGCACCATTAGGACTGATGAGAGAATGATGCTTTTTACACAATTGCATGGTCGGAGCTATACGTTTCATATCGCCCAGCTAGAAGGCAGCCTCCAAAGACATAGCTGCACATTCCAGAAATTCTAAGACCCAACCCTTCATTTCGCATGTGGTTTTCAATGGGTATAAAAAGACTCGGTGGGTGTGTGGGTGGTTTCTTGTGTTTTGGAAATAATGAGAATATGAGATGCTGAGCACTGGGTTCTGGGATGAGAGCTATAATTACTAGCTCTGATTCCTTCCCAGGATTGGCTCATGGAGGGATATCTGGGATCTAAAATCCCCAACCATCCGAAATCTAGAGCATTACTTCCTGCCCTTGGAAATCAAAGAGGTAGTGTGGCCGAGCGGGTAGGGAACGTCAGATGACAGGCCTTCCTTGCCGGTCTCTTTCCCTCACCTCCCCGAGGTTCTAGCCAGGGACACATCAGGCGTGGAGGCGGTGCAGTGGCTTCTCCTGTCTGCTACACCACAGCCACCGCGCAGCTGTGATGGAAAGAGTTCTAAATATAAGCCAGGGCTCATTTCAGTCCTCCCCCCCCTACCCCCCCACGTCTTGGAGGTTGTGGTAAACACCCTAAAAATACCTGCTGTCAGAATCTTTGAGGTATCTGAAGAGGAAGGGGGAGGTACCGGCATTGGGGGTGGGGGTGTTGTTGGGGGCGAGGCTTGGCCAGTTACCAGCACTGTGCCCACTAGAACCTGTTCTGGAAGCCATTCGGCGAGCTGTTGGCCATGCCACCCTGTTGCAGTGTAAGTGCCTAACTTGGAGTCTCATTCGCTGCTGGCAGATTTCAAGGAAACTATTCATAGATGCAGCATCTGCTCTCTGCTCCCTTGACCTCGAACCAGCAGCTGCCACCATGATATTCTAAGAGTGTGGTCGTTTTGGGTCAGATTTTGCAGAATTAGAAGTTTAGAGCTGGCAAGGAGTGGCGTCGTGCAGGAAGCATCCCATTGAAATCACTGCGTATCTACAGTCACACTTCAATGCAGATAGAGCGAGCATAGACACTTGGAAACGTGGATCTCAATCCTTGATGACGAAAAGAAATGATCTCATGAAAACACTGACTGAGTGATCCTAAGCAGCCCCCCCTTTTTTTTAATTAAAAAAAGAAGAAAGAAACACCGAGGTTCCTTGTGTCACCCAAATTCAGTTTTGTGAATGTAAAGTTCATGGCCACAGAACCAGAACACCAGGAGCTTCATCACCAGGAAGGCTTTCAATATCTAGTTTCTCGAAAGGCAAGCCATACCTTGGAATTATATGTGGGAATGAGAGTCACAGAGTGGCACCACCACCCCAGGGAAGCATTTAGCACCAGCTTGTGAAAGGGCATAAATCATCTGTTCATTGTAATGGACGCTTGCCACCATTTTAATGTATGGTAGTTACCTTATGTCAAATATTTCTGACATTTAAATGGTCAGAAGATGTATGCCATTCTATAAACTGTCATGTCACTTATTGAGAAGTGACATTGAGAAGCCTTATAGAGTGTAGAAACGGCTGGGAGAGACTGTGTAACTAATAGTCGTTGTTGTTGATAGGAGCAGTCAAGTTGGTTCTGACATGCAACCAACTGAGATACTGCCCAGGCCTGCCCCACCCTCAAAATTGTTATAATTGAGCCCATTGTTACAGCCCACGGTGTCAGTCCATCTCAATGAGGGTCTCCCTCTTTTTCACTGACCCTCCACTTTACCGAGCATGATGTCCTTCTCCAGGGACTGGTCTCTGATCACATGACCACCGTACATGAGTTGAAGTCTCTCCATCCTCAAAAGACTCTGGCTGCACTTCTTGCAAGCATATTTGTTAGGTCTTCTGGTATCCCATTCAGGAGAGACCAGTCCCTGGAGAAGTACATCACACTTGGTGAAAGGGAGGGGCGTCGAAAAAGGAAGGTCCCCAGTGGGACAGATGGACACAGTGGCTGCTGCAGCAATGGGCTCAAACATAAGAACAATTGTCAAGGATGGTGCAGGACTCGACAGTGTTGTACACTATTGCATATAAGGTCGCTATGGGTTGGACCCCATGAGACAGCAAGCACATCACAGCAACTGGTATCCTATGATATTTTCAATATTTTTCACCAGTGCCATAAATCAAATGCATCAGTTATTCCATGGTTTTCAGGAACCAACTCGTGTACTGAGTAGTTTGGGGTTTGTCGTATGATGGTGGCTCCAGCATTTCTGGAAGTGCAAAGAGTATTCATCTTCCGTGATCGGCTCAGACGCCCTCATGCATCAGGAAGAGTCCCGTTGACTTGTTTTCCTTCGGGGTGTGCTGGAAGCAAATGGAAAGTTTTGCGTAAGTGATTGGCGCTATCAAGACGGGCAGTCCTTTGGGTCACTGGAGGGACCCAGCTCTAGACCTTTTTGGAGGTCCAGCCTCTTCTAGAAGTGACAACCCTCCTGCACCCTTACTGGTGACAGGGAACGATTCCCCTGGGATCTATACCATCTGCTTTGGGAAGCAGTGTGCGACTTTGTGAACGAACGTGGCTTTGGAGTGCTGCCTCGTATAGTGTGGGGACAGTTGGGATGTCTTATTCCATGAGGAAAGGAGGAGAGGGGTAAGGGCATGTCTCATTTGTATGTGGCATAATTACTGGATTCTCAAATATTCCCCTCTGATATTCCAGAATGAAGAGCTTCGAAACTTGTCCCTTTCTGGCCATGTTGGATTTGACAGCCTCCCTGACCAGTTGGTTAACAAGTCTACTTCTCAAGGATTCTGCTTTAACATCCTTTGTGTGGGTAAGTGAGCCATCCGCTACTGCTGTGCAAGAACGCTGGCCACGTGGTGGTTCCAGGAGCACAGTCCAAGGATATGACGGGATTGAGCGCCATCGATATAGCCAGGAACTATCCCTGCTTTACAGATAGGTGTTAGGCAGTTGCAAAACTTGAGATGTCTATTTGCATAAATGCTTAGTAAACCTTATGGTGATGCTCCAATTATTATTTTAATTTTTGTTGTATAGTGCAACAAGCAGTTTATGGGTGGGTGGGGGTCTATGTGGGAGGAGAGAAAGAGGCCTCTTTGGCCTTAGACCCTATCTGAACTATAGGAAGTTGAAAGGCAAAACTGAGATGTTCATAGTTAGATCATTCAAAACCTTTTTAAGAATTTGCTTCTAGGGTCCTCTGACGATGGTACGATAGAACTCTAAATTAAAATCTTTTTCTTTTTTCAGTTGGGCACAATGATACCCACTCCCCATCTGTCAGTGTTCTTTCTTTCAAATTTTATTATTATTTTTTAATCATTTTATTAGGGGCTCATACAACTCTTATCAGAATCCATCCATACATCAATTGTGTAAAGCACATTTGTACATTCATTGCCCTCATCATCCTCAGAACATTTGCTCTCCACCTAAGCCCCTGGCATCAGCTCCTCATTTTTCTCCTCCTTCCCCACTCCCCTCTCCCTCATGAACCAAAAAAATTCTTTTTCAAAATATGCTATCTAGAGTAAATTCCAGAACTACATCAATAAAACTACAATGTTTAAAAACTTGCTTTTAGGGCAAAACCAAAAAACCAAGCTCACTGCCATTGAGTGATGCCGACTCATAGTGACTCTTGGGCCAGGTAGAACTGCCCGAGTTTCTGAGGCTGTCACTGGTCACCGCAGTAGAGCGCCCCGTTACTGCTGACTGCAGACAGCAGCCTAACTTGTACCCCTGTGCCACAAGGGCTCCTTTCAGGACAAAAACAACTCGAAATTCCTTTTTATACTTAAAAGAAATTATCTGCCCAAATTGTTGAATTCACCTTCAGTCCTTAAATTGGGACCTAAAATGGCCTTAGTTTATTCCTGGTAGACAGGTGGGGGCGGGGCGGGGAAGACGACCCAGAGGCATCATTTGCTTACTTCGGCCCGGACTTCTAACCTTGGTGGCTTTCTTTTTCTTCTCTTCGGCTGTACCCTTTGTACACCAAGAGGAGGAGGGTGGCGAAGAAGGGGCGGAGAAAACAGATGAAAAGAGAAGAAAAGCTCTCCTGTTCTCTGTTTGAGGGCGAGACTAGGCTTCCCACTCTGGGGAAGACGTACAGTCTCAGAAACCCTGCGGGGTGGGGGGCGGGGGGTGCTGTCCCATCCCAGAGGGTCCCTAGGAGTCAGAATAGATTCAACCTCAATGAGGTGGTTCATTTAGAGCAGCAGTTCTCAACCTGGGGGTCGCGACCCCTCTGGGGGTTGAACGACCCCTTCGCAGGGGTCACCTACAATCATTGGAAAACTCGTTTTTCTGATGGTTTTAGGAACCAAGACACCGCTCCGCCCACATGCAGATACGCCCACATAGAGTACCGGGCTTGAAGACTGTTACCCATGCTACACCATGCTCCGAGACAACATTTCATTTATTTGTCATTAGAAATCAATATTTCACAATATGTAATCACATATTGTTTTTGCGATTACTCACTATGCTTTATGTTCAATTTGTAACAATGAACATATATCCTGCCTATCACATGTTTACATTATGATTCATAACAGAAGCAAATTACAGTGATGAAGTAGCAACGAAAATAATTGTATGGTTGGGGGTCACCACAACATGAGGAACTGTGTGAAAGGGTCGCAGCATGAGGGAGGTTGAGAACCACAGGTGTAAAGCAGAACTGTCCCCAGAAGAGAAATGACCTTTTTTTTTTTTTGCTGTCCCTGTCACTCTTGAGAAACCACTGCCCAGTGTAGGAGTTTGCCTGCTCTGTTTTGTTGGGTGACTGCCCTGAGCGTATACTTCTAAGCTCTCACTTTGAGACAAACCCAATGGAATTGTGCCTCTAGCCAAATGGACTACCTGTCTCCTGAGCATGGCAGAAGGTACTGTGCATCTCATGCTTAAGTCGAAGGAACTCAATTTAGAAGAGGCATGTGTTTGATATAGGAACCACCACTTGTTAGCTGCAGGGGAGGGGGTGTCTGGAGCAGGCAGATATTTTCCTCTTTTAAAAAAACTCCTTCAGGATTATACTTTGAGTAGCCTGCACTGGGCATTCCGCGGGCGTGTCCACAAGGCCAGCCTGGTCTCGGGCATTGTCTGCAGCTGTGGGCCAGAGAATGACCCGGGGGAAACAAGAGCCAGGCAGCCAGCTCCCCTGCTTTTTTCTTCTCTCTACATGAACCTCCCTTTTAAAACTCAGCGGGAACCTCCTGAGTGGCAGCTAGCACTACAGAATGGGATAAAGGAGTGGTTTTTTTTCTTTTTTTCTTCTTAAATGGTACATGCTCAATGCAGAACAGGGCAGCTCTTCATTAGCATAGCAATTGTTGGCAGTTTGTTGATTTTCTATGCAAGAGTTTGCTAAATTGTACGCCTAGGCCCATTCCTAGTCTGATTTCCCATCCCGGCCTCCTCAAACTCTTTCTCCAAATCAGCTTGGAAACACGTCTGCGAGTTTTACCCTGGCCCCCACCCTGAAGGGAACATTCCTCCAAGGGAATTGGACTCCCTGCAAGGGTCTGGCTTGACAAAGTCGGGCAGCAATGACCGACCCCTTGGGTTGAAATAGCATCATTGTGCCACTAGTTGAAATTCCTCACAAGCCACATTAGTGCTGCCTGGTGGTTGCTGGTTTTTTAGGTAAAGCATTTGCCACTTGCTTTATCTTGGGTAGAGAGTAATATTTGTGATTCTAAGATTTTTATTCTTGTTTTACTCTTGTGTGTGTTTAAAATTGTTTTTTCCCCTCACAATAACAAATGTGATGTATGCTTTTTGTTAAAAATATAAGCCCCATCTCCATCTACCCCATTCCTACTCAATATAGGGATAAAGCCGTAGAATCTTCCTAGAAGTTAGAAACTTTCAACATCTTTCTGTGTTGGGAAATTACTTTTGGTACCTTAAATCCACACAGTGTTCCTATCTTACAGTTTTGTGGGTTGGAAGCCCCACCTGGGTCTCCCTGGGTTAGAGTCGGGGTGTTGGGAGAACAGAGCCCATTTCTGTCTTTCTCTGCTTCTGTAGAGTGCCCTCACTCCGTGGCTCTGGGGTCCCTTCCTGCATCTTCCCAGCAGCAGCGTGGCATCTCTGACTGACTATGCATTAGGGAACTTTCTACTAAAGATAGCAGACATCCAGTTTAACCTTCCTTAAGCACCCTCCTTCTCCAACACAAACACATCCCCCAAATGTCATTCACTGGACCGAGTGACTGAGCAGGTTGACTCCAGCGCTCCCCACTGCATTTTCAAAGCTTGGGCCTCGGTCCCTCGGTTCTGCTTGCTTCTATGGCTTGGGGTCAGGGTTTCTGACCGCGGCAGCAGTGTGGCCTCTAGCTGTGGTGCCAGCTTAGCGACTCCAGGGGGAAAGAAGTCATTCCTGACAACCGTGACTGCACAGCCACAAGGAGCCAGCCGTCCAGAACTGGGTCACCTGTGCACCCTGGGTGGGAGACAGGGTCTACCCATCCAAACCGACGAGAGGTTCCCTATAGAGGAAAAACAAAAACATTTTTAGTAGCCAGAGGACTGGCGGTGCAAGAGCCATGCAGTAAAAGGAATAAAACAGCTCTCTCACAATTACAGCTCTGCCTTCGGTCTAGCTTTACCCACACGAGGGCAAGCTGTTGAGGTTCTTCTGCGTTTTCTCTCCATCACTCCACAGAAGCCCTGGGCATCTTCCCACGCTGGCCCCGCTAGCGCTTCTTGTTCTTTTCCACAGCCCTTCGGAAGCCTGGAGTTGGAAGCAGCATTCGCTCTTTGGGAGAGGGGTCAGCATTAAATCTTAAGCAAACTTGTCCTCAGAGATTAAGCCAAAAATAACACACCTCTTGCTGTCGAGTCCACTCTGACTCAGAGTGACCCCGTTGGACAGCAGAGCTGCCCAGAGGGTTTCCAGCACAGTCATCTTTGGGGAGCAGACGGACTCACCTTTCTCCTGTGCAGTGGGTTCACACCACTGGCCTTTCAGCGAGCAGCGGAGCACGTACCACTGCTCTAGCCGGGCGCCTCTTCTGAGGATGGAACTACTGCACCAGCCGGGCGCCTCTTCTGAGGATGGATCCCGCAGATCCTCGTGCCACCAACCTTGGGCAGCAAATATCTGTACGAAAAGAAATTCTTGCAATCACTCCGTGGTCCGTCTATTTGTAAGAGTCTCTAAAGAAGCATGCCAGTCATTCAGAGTATTTGGGCAGCCACCCGGAAGAGTAGGCGGGCCTATTGGATGACGTTAGTAGGATCCCTGGTGATTGCCCTGCCATTCTGTTGCCTGTTGGCATTTTTTTTTTCTTTTAACAAGAGCACAGTGTGTACATGTGTGACGTTTACAGCAGCATTGCTTTAGTTTCGTGTGACAAAATTTGGAAGGGGGTTGAGCATAAAAAAGAGCGTTGTGATTCCAACGAGGAAACAGGAGTTGATCAAAAAGGCCTCAAACGTCATAATTCATTGCTTTGTGCCAGGGCCTCTAGGTTGGGCGCCAAGGGAATAACTGAGGGAGAAACAGAGCCTGGCCTGAGCTTCATCAGGTTCCAGGGACTTTGAATTCAATGGCTGTTTGTAGAATCTCTCTCTCGGCTGAGAAGAAATGAAGAGAGAGGAGAGGAGGTTTCATTTCACCAGGAAGAGAATTCTGATACTAAATCGGATAGCCAAGTACTCAGCAATGCAGAATGTCCCCCACCGCCCTTCCTGCGTACAACAGTCAGTCACTCACAAAGCTGGACCTCAGTCTAAAGAGCCATGGCCGTGTCACCATGGCCGTGTTTCTCCAGAGAACTAGCCATCCACCCTTTCTTCACCATGATGCACGCATAGCTCCAGCCCATCCGTTTCCCCAAGGAGACGAGCTCGACATTAAGCTTCGTCAACGCTGGTCCAGCTTCTACTGCTGGTCACTTCTTTGTGACAGTCGGAAGATAAGTAGGATATTATAGTGTCCTCGCCTTGGTGTAGGGGGTGGGCGGGGGAAGTTTGGGAGTCGACTCCACGCAGATTAGTCATACATTTTGAAAATGGATTTAAAAAACCAACAACAATTCACCCATCATTGAGGAGATG